TTAGCAAGAAGCCTGCCATGGCCATACAGTTTGTAACCAATATAAGTGTCTGTGTTTACTTGATCGGGTTTGAGCGGCTTGGGACTGGCGGGTGAGAGAGATTTGTACTGACTGTGGGCCAGGCAGGAAAACTCTAGCAACAAATGGCGCCCAACGTGGGGCAAGAGTTTCCACCTAAAACCTGAAAAAAAAGATTCTAAAACGGAGCTAAAAACAGTTCCTAATTGTCTCTCTCAAATGAGCGGCAGCTGCCGGTTTGAGCTACTGGCGGGTTGCTGGCGTGCGCACTCGACCTGCAGTATGGCGGGAATGAGGCCTCTGCAAATGGCACATTAAGCTACATTATGGATTTAGCCTTTGCTAGTACAAAACAAAAAAAAGAGGTTTCTGGGCTACACACTGCTTGGATAAAAGCATAGACCCACGATGGCTCCCAGAGCTGGCGGTAAGCATACTGCCGCCATGTTGGGAAGCTGCGGTGGGTGGAGCCAGCAGCCACAGCTGCTACAGCTTAAAGCAATAGATTCACAATAAGACAGATTCAGATGTAATAGTTTACAATGTGTGTAAAATATACGTAGGCTTGAAAGAGACAAAAAAAGATGATATATACAATATAAAAACAAATACATGGTTTTAAAAAATAAAGTCTTTAAAGAGACAGTAAAATTAATATAAAAAATAAGCCACGTAGAGATGACTATTACACAGAGAGTCTGGATTGTGTTGTCTTTGGGATTCTTAACTACAGAGAGATGTTTGATTGTAAAGGAAGCTGAGTTAAACCAGTACGTATATTTTAAAGATACTTTGACTTCAAAATTTGGATGTAAGGATATGTTGCTTTGGAAAAGAGTCTCTTTTGTTTCCACAGAAAGCAAGAGGCTATGGATTTGTTCCAGATTAAGACACATCAGGTTTGACCAGCCAAGACCACCTGAAAGGTCTCCGATGACACCATGGCTCAGATGATCCAACATCCAGAACCATTTCAAGACAACTGGCTCAGATGATACAGCCTCACGGACTACTCCATGATCCTAAAATTTTCTTTGTTTCCCCAAAAGATACAGCGCCCCCCTCCAGCAAAAAGTAGTAAGAGAAGCTACGCCCAAATTCCCAAATATACCAAGCTGACTTTGGAGATGTGTAAAGGTTAAAACCTTCCTTTTTAAGAAAAGAAAAGGGGAGGTGCTGTGGGATGGTCTGTATGTCAAATGTGTTGCTGATTGGTCAATGAATAAATCACTGATTGGCAGTGGCCAGGCAGGAAGTATAGGCAGGACTAACAGAGAGGAAAATTGAGAGAACAGGAAGCTGGGAGGGGAGACACTGCCAGCCGCCATCAGGACAAGGAAGATGTAAAGTACCGGTAAGCCACAAGCCACGTGGCAAGGTATAGATTAATAGAAATGGATTAATTTAAGCTGTAAGAAGTTAGCAAGAAGCCTGCCATGGCCATACAGTTTGTAACCAATATAAGTGTCTGTGTTTACTTGATCGGGTTTGAGCGGCTTGGGACTGGCGGGTGAGAGAGATTTGTCCTGACTGTGGGCCAGGCAGGAAAACTCTAGCAACAGGGGTGGCTGACATTGAGGGTAGGGAGGTGTGTGGGAGCCAGGAGCTAAAGCAGTCTGGAACTTGCATGGAACCTGCCCCCAACATCCTGCCTACCTGCAACATCACCCTGACTCTGGGCAACAGCAGAATATATGAGACTAGCCTAGGCAATGATCCAATGCTTATGGTGCTTCAGAAACCAAACCAAAGACTCAATATTGATGTAAAGCTATTTGGGCAAAAAATATAGTGTGTGACACACTGCAGTATGCAATGCCAATATGACAGACAAATATGCAATGGAGAGGTAGGAAAGATGGAGGAATATAGCAGTGTGCAATGGTGGTGACAGGTGTGAGAGAAGGCTACAGTGGACAGGGGACCATGTCTTGCTGAGCAGGGCCAACCACAGGGTGGGGTGCAGCAGCCTGGAGCTTGTGCATGCTCAACTCCCAAACCTGCTGCCCAGACACATTATCGCCCTGGTTTTGTGGGGGAGCCCACAGAGGTTTCCTAGTGAGATCTGAGCTTGCTTTACCAGCAGGGCTGCATAAGAGGATGACTGGACCATGGGCCTGGGTACCAGGTGATTGGAAGGGTCTATACTTGGCTGTATCTAGCAAGGAGGTGGTCTTTTGCCTTGCTCCATGGCATTGTTATAAAAAGCTTTTGAATAAAGTTCTGGGCCATTGGGTATTGACCCAGGTCCTCCTGAAGCTATCCTGTGTTTCTGTCTTTCTTCCTCTCGGCTAGGCCTATCATCCTACCTAATATTTCTTATTCCTCTCTCCTCCTCATAGGAACCCTTTAAAAGGTGGGGGCTGGCTTCCCACAGTTTTGAGCAATGGATAGGGTGTCCAAGATGAGGAATGGTTGGTTCATTTTCTGGATTAGAGTTCCTCTTATGGAGGCATTTTCTCAATTGAGGTTCCCTCCCTTCAGAAGACTCTAGCTTGTATCAAGTTGACATAAAACTAGCCAGCACAACATCCATAAAAAAAGTTTCTGTTAGAACATTCTCCATATCTATCCAACCAAATACTGCAAGTAGTACTGTAAGTCAACACTTTCTACACCTCTTCAACTAACAAAAAGCTCATTAGATTGAAAAGGTACCACAATCTAACATACCTCAGTTTATTATACTCTGTATATGTAAGAAAAGAGAACACTGAGAAAAACATGACCATTTATTTACAAGTGCAGACTGTGTAACAACAGAACCTAAGTGCAACATAATCTCTTAGTCAAAATAGTATATTTGCTAAGCTAATAAAAATATATGAACTCTCGTCTATTTACAGATAAAATTAAAAATTATCCACTAATTTGTTTTTACACTAAATTTTAAATTGGGGGGGATCTCATAAGAAAAAAATTAAATAAATGGGTTCAACACAAACTTTACATTGCTGCTGCTGCGTGGGCCTTCTCAGACATGAGACAGGGATGACCAAAAGGCAAGCTAGCTCAGAGCCCTGTCCCTGGTTCTTCTAAAAGCTTTACACTGTTTCTTCTGTTCTACTCCGAGGCTTCTTACGCAGCTCAAGCATTACAGCCCTTCAGCCCTGTGATAGAGTCAGGCCAAGCCACAGTGCGAGGACGTTTTTGCAAGGAGATGGTGCCAACAGCAGCCTCGGCATGCCTGGGTTATGTCAATCACCAAGAGAATGAAAACCTCAGAGTCAGGATGCTGGTTCACAAGACGGCAAAATCCTTCCGAAATTGTGTCCATGACCAGTGGAAAGTACCAGATTAACTCACTGTAACAAATCAATAAAACACTTGCCCTTCCCTTGTTCAGTAAGCAGTTTGGTCAGCATGCCTCAGCAGGGATAGGTGATTGGTCCACAAGCTTCACACTCTCAGGTGGATCCAGTTGTTCTCTCACTTCCACATGTGTGCTATGGCACACACCACACACACACACATATGCACAGAATCACACACAGTTGGAATAAAGTATACAATGAGAGACATGTTATATACTGAGTCATGTTATCCTAAAATTCCTGTTTTGAAGCTCTAGTCCCAAATGTGACTGTATTCCAAGACAGTGCCTGTAAGAGGGAGAAGCAAGGTGGAAAGATGTCGCAGGTGTAGTTAACACAACACAACAGAAGTCCTTGCAGGAGCAGCGGCGGCGGCGGCGGTGGCGGCAGCAGCAGCAGCAGTAGCAGCATGGCACTCACACAGAGAAGAGACCGCATGAATAGGCCAAACCTCAAGTCCTGGGGCCAGGCCTCAGAAGTGGAAAAATCTGCCAACACCCTGATTTGAATTTCCAGACTCAAGAACCATGAGAAACTAAGTTTCTGTTGCTTAAACCAGCAAACTTGGAATTTTGTTACAGTAGCCCTAGAAAGTTAATACAACAACACATGGTATTTATTTATATAAACATTCTTCATTCCTTATTATCCTTTTTTCCAGAAGAAACAAATTAAGAAATATACAACATAAACTTTTTTTCCTTGCATAGTACACGATATAAAAGGGACAAAACCCACATTTCTAGACAAAATCTCGTCACCTGACATTAGTAGAAAAGAAGAACTGAGGAATGGGTCTAAGAACATGATGCTATAGACTGATTAAAAGTGGTTGTGAGGATTTACAGTGACTGCTGTTGAGATGCTGTCGGGACTGCACACAGCCTGGACGAAAGCATCTTTGTAGCTTGAGTTTTCCTGCCTGGCCCACAGTCAGGACAAATCTCTGACACCCGCCAGTCCCACAGCCATTCAGACCCAACCAAATAAACACAGAGACTTATATTGGTTACAAACTGTATGGCCGTGGCAGGCTTCTTGCTAACTGTTCTTACAGCTTAAATTAATCCATTTCTATTAATCTATACCTTGCCACATGGCTCGTGGCTTACCAGTATCTTTACATGCTGTTTCTCATCATGGCGGCTGGCAGTGTCTCTCTATCTTAGCCTTCCACTTCCCAGCTCTATTCTCCTCCTTGTCCCGCCTATACTTCCTGCCTGGCCACGGGCCAATCAGTGATTTATTTATTGACCAATCAGCAACATATTTGACATACAGACCATCCCACAGCACATCTTCATTGCCTTCTCCTTATGCATTCGTAATGGCGTTGTGTGTGTGAGTGTGTGTGTGTGTGCACACGTGTGTGTGTGTGGACGTGTGTGTGTTTGTCTGTATGTGTGTGTGTACACATATATATCCTTAGAGAAACACAACGCAGGAAGCAAGTTCAGTCTGCTGACAACATGCTTACTTAAGAAGACACCTTTCCCAACTTTTGCTTGGCACTTGCTAGATTAACATATAAATTTCTATTTACAGAAATTAAGACACATGTATCTTTTATACTTTTCAGCTGTGTTTTGGTGCATGTTTTACAAACAGATCTTCTAGTTTGAGGCTAACAAAATTTCATTTGCTATTGCTCTGCCCTTTAAACGTTACCTTGTCTGGGTCCATCTTCCCTTTAATAAACTCTTGCTTCCAGAACTGCAATGCCTGTTCTAAAGTCAGGCCAATGCCCTTCAGGAACAGCCCATACTGCATCCGGCCTCCATGACGAAGATGGTGGTTTTCCCTCAAAGCCTTGTGCAACTGACGCATGCAAGGTGGGAAAGATTTGGTAGAAAGCTACAAGAAAAAAAGCAAGTTTAGGTAATACTGAAGATATACTAGGTCCCCATTATAGCTGCTGTGACTGTAAATTTGATTTAATCAGAATAAACAACATAAGTCATAGAAAGCATTGTTGTATTACATAGATTGTAAATGTGACTTGTCTTATTGTTTTATAGTGATTAGAAATCAAACAGGTAACACTTTGACCATCCCAGATTATATAATAATAATAATGTCAGTTTCCCTGTTTCTCTTTTACATTTTCCTTTAGATGGCTAATAATGCACATATTAGCTACAAGAAATAACACAAAGAGGTGGCATGTCCCCAGTTTCCCTCACATATAAAATCTTGCAAGACAGGCAAATACAACACAGATACATCGCACTGTGCTTCCTCAGACTCCCACAGTTGTACGTCTACTTCTATGTGCATGTTTCATCACGTGGAGGCTCATACTTCCACCACCTCAGGATGCAGAATGATTTCATCACCACAAGGATCCCTATTTCCTGCTTGCATTTATTTAGCACCATTTGCATATGGAGGCCAGAGGACAACACTGGGTGTCTTCCTCTGCTGTTCTCACTGAGCATGGAGTTCACTGTTTCAGCTAGATGGCTGTCCAGCATAAGCCTCCAGGATTCTCCGTCTCGGCCTCCGCAGTGCTGGGGCTGCAGGCCCACACCACCACATGTAGCCTTTTCTGCGGATGCCAGGGATCCAAATGCAGGTGCTCATACACAGCAAGCATATTAGCCACTGGCCATCTCAGGACCCTTCTTCTTCCTGCCTACTTTCTGCTTTCTGCACCCTGCTCCACCCCATCCTCCTTCTTTCCTAACATTTGGAAACAGCTAATCTGTTCATTTCTGTAACTCTGTCATTTCAAGAGAATCAACTAAACAAAATCACACAGTGTGCCATGTCTGAGGACTGGCTAGTTCCTCATCCTTGGTTCGAGGTTCTCCTGTGACAACTCAGGGAAGGTCAATGAACAGGCACAGTCTATGGCTTGAATGTGCTGCAGTTTAACCTTTTTATTACAAACAAAACTGCTCTGAATATTCTTAGAGGGTTTATGTGAACGTAATATTCCATTTTTCTAAGAAAAAAGGTCTGAAAATATAATTGCAGAGTAGCAAATTGATTCATAACATAAATTAGACATAAAGTAGAACACAAAATTAAGAGAAAGAGTTTTAAAGAGAAAATTCAAACATACATGTTTAACCAAGTTTAAAAATGCAGCTCTTTGTTTTAACATCAAAAATGAAGTATCATTGATTGTTTTTCAGTTCACTGTTTTCACTTACAATCTCTATCAAAAATGAAGTATCATTGATTGTTTTTCAGTTCATTTTTTTCACTTACAATCTCAACCTTGCTCCCTCTAACTTCCCAGAGTGCATCCTTCCTCCCAGGATGTGAGTTCTCACCAGGGCAGACTTGCCAGTTCACCCAGTCAGGAGGGCCTAGACTTGCTTTGTTTGACTTTGCTGCTCCCTCTAGTGACCATCTAATGTCTGTCTGTAAAGAACAACTGAATTCCATCCTCAAAACTAACCCACATAGACCTCTATCTTCCAGGGGAGTGACGAATAGAAAGCCTTTCAGTTCATTTTCACATGACTACTTTGGTTATTTCTTAATTACAACAAACAAACAAACAAACAAACCTTAGTGAATGTTCAACGTCCTTGGTGTAAACCCACACAATCCCCTAAGGCCCATCAGCTTTTCAATACTTAACAGAACAGGTTTTATCCAGGATTGTAGAAAACAAGGAAACAGAAGCACAGTCCACTCAGTCAATGGTGGCTGTATGAAACTATGACCCCCGTTACACGGACCAAGTCTGTATAATGACTTCAACAATGAGGACTGCAGCAGGGGCACGTGCCAAATGCCACAGAAGCCCAGTACGGACTGGGAGCTGATTTGTCACTGTGCCAACAAGAAGTTCCTTCCCACCGTTGAGTCCTGCTTACATAGTCCCACTCTGCTGACACTGTCTGGTGTGCCCTCCCACTCCCATGCGATCTAGTTACAGCAGGCAAAGCCCCTCAAGACACAATTCAACCTCTGTTTCCTTTACTACAATTCTCCAATTCCTGGATTCTCAACCAACAAGGATTTACTGAACATTTATTATCTGTGCAGCCCTCACAGCTACCAGTACAGAGAGAGGTCACAGATCCCCTCCCGGAGCAGTTGACACTTGGATGCAGAGACAATGGGTATGAGCATGAAGAGGGTAAAAACGGTGTCCAAGCTCGTGAGTAAAGCAGCAGAGGGATCAACTGTGATTGGGAGAGAATTCTGGAAACAGACTAGTCTCTAAGGAAATTACACTTCAACTAAAACATACACTTCAAGCTTGATTCTACTCATGTGAGGACCCAAGAATATCATTCATATTATGAAAATTAAAAACTCCAAGAAGAAATGAATATCATGTACTAGAACATAATGAGTATACCACGATGAAGTAGAAGACAGGCCATAAAAACCAGAGGGTTTGATGATTTGATAAGGAACTCGGGCTACTACACTCTAGAAAGACTATAACCAGTAAGAATGGAAGGAGGAAGAATGCTTAAGAGAACCTAATGGCTGTCCACAAAGTGAAAATGAAGACAACTGTGCACAGGGCTGGCCACAGTAAGACAGAGAAATGGGAACAGAGCTGACAGAGAAAGTGTAAGGACAGGCTATGGGATGCTGCAGAGGGCAGCAACAACAGATGCAGTGCTGTGCAAATAAAAACCATCAAAGATACAGGGTGGGGTCAGCATCTAGGGAGGTATCCACTCTATATCTTGATTCCCGGGCTTTAAAGAAGCTAGAGCTGGGACAGGGAAGATTCAGAAGAGGTCATGTAAACTAAGACAGACACTCACTCCATACCTACAGAGGGTCAAGGGAAGGCGCAGTCCCCATTTGAAGAGGAACACAGGGACAATAGTGCCACTGACAGATACAGACTTCAGTTATAGAACAACCTAGAAGACGCAGTCCATGACCAGCAGATAGCAAGAGATACACTGATGGCATGGTGTTAGAAGGATGAAGAGCTTCCAGATAAAGTTAAGTCTCAAGCAATTTTACAGGATGATGCTCATTTGCTATGTTGTCTGTTTCGCCCAGGTAAGGTCCAAGAAGTATAGATATTCTATTATATTCAGTTCTGTACTCACACCACTAACTGGTACACAACTGATGGGCTCAGTTTCTATTCACTACATGAATCAGTGAGTACAGTTCTTGGCATTCCCACAGTTCACACTTGCTGGTGATGAGAAATCACTTGGCTAGAGGTAGGAATAGAATTAACTTCAACTATTCATATAATATAAAGTGAACACATGGAGAAATGGAAAGGCAAGAAAGGGACTAGTAAGGTGAAATAATTCTTTAGAGGAGATTGAAAGATGAGACATCTTAAGAGCAAATTGGAAATCAACTACGTAGTGCAGACAATCCTATTATTTCCAGGGATATTAACTGCTAAGTACTACATTATGATTTGCCATAAGATAATCTTATCTATTCATTTTGATCTGTTCCCAGTAACCTTATTATAATTCTTATATTCCAACATTAAAACTCTGTTATATTTTTAATTTTTTGCAAGTAAAGTGGTAGTTGTAAATACAGATTATTTCTAGCAGGCTTAATTTTTTCTTTGTGGGATAAAGTGCACACACTACAGAGCATTAAAGAGAAATTCTGGAAACTGAAGTATAACAAAGTGCTTTTGCTGAGGAAGTGCAAAGTCAAACAAGGCAGACGTGAACCATGAGTTAGTGCAGGATGGCAGCCTTCCTTAATGCTAGTGAATGCTCCTGGGGAACCGCACCCACACTCACAGAGTGAAGTTTTAACCCGGTACCCAGTTTGACTGGGTAAGAGATCCTTAAAAGAGGTGATTAAGTTGCATGGGGTCATTATATCATTAAAGGTGACTAGTGTACATACAAGAAGAGAAAGACACAACCAGGCTGTAGACCAACAGTGGGAAAACCATCTCAGGAGACAGGAAAGCAGCTATCTATAAAGCAAAGAGAGAGGCCCCAGAAAACAGAGCTTACACTTCAAGCCTCGGGCTACGAGGAACTATCTTCTGGTATTTAAGTCACCAATCTGATTTTGCTATAACAGTTCTAGCTAACTAATACACGTCACTTCTCCTTTTCTAAATGTGTGTAGTATTTAAGTGTAAACACATAAACACAGTGGTTGTCATTTAAAAGAATTCCATTTTCCAATAATCAAATTGTTTTTTAAAAATTGCAAATAACTTCCCCTTAAATTCGGTTTTCTTCCAATTAAAATAAAATCACATACATAAAATATGAGACTTTCCTCTTAAAATGATCAGAAGCAATAAGGTACTGCTCCCCCATCTTCCCACCAAGGGTCTCTAGTTGAATCACGTCTGCTTTAACAGGGGCTGGTGCTTACCGAATCAATCTGATCTAAGGAAATCTTCCCCGTGTTCTTCTGGGTGCTGTAATCTTGACCAGTGTAAGAATGACTGAAAAACAAAGCAGAACAAAAACTAAAATGGGATCTGTAAAATGCTTTCATCTCTTTAAAGAGAATTTTTATTCTAAGATCAAAGTTATAATAAGAAAACATTTTACACATGAACCTCAGCAGAAAGCCAAGTACTCTGAATGTATTTAATAAGACATATACAATGAATTACTTACAAGTAACACACAACATAGCACCAGGCTGGATTTCCCGAATCCTACCCCAGGGCACTGCTTTCACTTCCTACAAGCATAATCCATACAGTAAAAGTTTAAACCTCCTCTACTTAAGCCTATCAACAGCACTGCAACAGAGCAGGAACGAAGGGAGAGCTTCAACAGGAATCACCCTGGACCACAGATCCCTGGGCGTGTCATCAGCCTACGGGCATGCTGTGCTCCTTCTCCATCAAATGGGGAAGATGATATCGACCTGCCGTACTAACATAAGGACCCAAATCAAAATCATTTCTGTTAAAGGCCTGATATATAGTAGCAGTTGCCATTCATTAAAATATTTAACAGTGCTTAGTGTGCGAGGAATCCCCATGTACATTCTCTAATTAAATCCTCACATCCATTCTGGGAGAACACTTAATTTACATTTATCAAATGAGGAAATTAGAAATGTGTTAGAATCAAAACACCAAGTCTGTCCTGTGGTCAAATGCAAACTTGTCTCTTCATTTCATTTCTTTATGACACTGACATCCTCCTCCTATAATAAATGTCTCTGTGGTGTTATTCACAAATCTGGAAACAAGTTGACAGGCACTATCTAAAGCCATTCATCTTTACAATTTTTCATATCCTTGACAAAATCTACTCTCCATGTCCAACCCCATAAACAAAGATCCCATTGCATTCAGTTTGCTATATTACATAGAAAAATGTATACAGTCAACCCATGGCTTATACAGATACAACTAAAGAAAATTCTGGAGAGAAGAGTCAAGTTAATCATAAAGAATTCCAGACTCTCTATTTCACATCTACTAGGAAGAGACTCTTCCTGCAGAACCACACACATGCTCTTTAAGAAGTTGCTGTTTCCACAGTCGATTAATTTCATTGATTAAACAACAGATACAAATTATGAAACAAGACTGTAGTAGTGCACTGGGATGCTGCAAGTACCCTATGAGACCGTCAAGCCTAAGTATCCCTCTTCTGTTAGGTAATGTGCCATTTGCTCTGACTTAGTCCATCAATGACATTAACTTGATGCATACATAGATCATGCTAAGTGAAACCCACAGCTATTATTTTAATGATTTGCACTGTTTGGACAGGCATGTGTGTATGTAGGTATGTATGTAGAGTGTATATGCATGTAGGTTCACACATGTGAGGATCCTCCTGAGTATGTGTGTACATGTGTGAAGGCCAGAGGTAATGTCAGCTGTCTATCTATCATATCTACCACTTTATTTACTGAGGCAAGGTCTCTCGCTGAACTTGGACTTCCCTGATTCAGCTAGCTAGCCAGGCTACTCTGAGGAGTGCTTGTCTCCACTCCCCCAGTGCTGGATTACAGGTGACCACCAGGCCCGGCATGCCATGTTTTTTATGTGGATGCTTGGGATCTGGACCCCAATCCTCAGGCTTATACAGCAAGCATTTTATCCACCGAACCACCGGCTCCTGTTTCACACTGTCATACAGGCCTAAAAGACCATTATTTCTGTAAAATCACAGGGGTGAAAAACGACTTTACTTCCCCATCTAACCATGGAACAAAGAAGCCCCACAGGGTAACAGAACTAGCGGAAGGCTGCAAGTCTGGAGACCTTTCTTGTTTCGGGTTTTAAGTCACTAGCTACACAACTGGAAAAGTCAATTATCCTGTTTTGCCATCATTCTCATTTGTAAATGGAAGCACTGATGCCAGACTAGACATGCTGGGGAAACAAATAATATGGCTTATTCAAAAATGCTAATTAAAATCAGGAAGTATATTCTAGTACAAAGGAGTAATTACATACTTTAACCAGTAAACAGGGGGAAAGCAGACAGTAAGGCGGCCAGTATGAGCCTAGAGGAGACATCACCCGGCTCTGTACTCGGCCATGCCTTTGACTCCTGTAAACCTCAGTATCCAAATGCATAAATGAAAATGGTGACTGCAACCATCTAAAAGAATTGTTCAAACCAACCATTCACAAATACACACGTAGTGGTAAAATGATGTACAGACATAATTATAGATGGTTATTGATAAAACACAGTCAAATAATTACTTCACCTCAGGAACTTGTCTTGGCCAGATTAATTGCAGCATAATGAGTTTAAAAAAATACATAAAGAAGAAACACAGAGCGAACACAGCGACATACACCTGCAGTCTAGGGGGTTGAGGGGATTTGGGATTTGAGGCAATTCTGAGCTATGAAGCCAGCGCGCGTGCAGGGTGGGGTGGGGGGGACAACACAAACACAACACCATACACATTTGCCATTTCCTCAGGCACTGACTCAAAGCTATCAAGGGAAACCTTTATCTAGATCTCCATCCCTCCAAAGAACTCAGGATTCAGAGGCAAGGTCTCTTTGAGGCAGAATTCTGCTGCTCAGAGAGGCTGAATAGCAAGTAGCTCCCCTTCTCCCTTTGCAGGTGTCTTCCAAAAAACTCAACAGTCCTTCTGTTTAGTCCCCATTTAAGAACCCTAGCTACTGTGGTTCCTCCCTACCACTTCCTGTCAGCTACTTGCTGACTCAACCTCCTGCTCACAGGTTAATTTTATTCAATCAAACAAATGTATCACATCTCTGCATTGTTAACAAAAGCAGTAGGAAAAATGTAACACACTTTAAAATAATATTCCACAACAAAGGACCCCAGATACTCAGTACCCCTGAAGCTGGTTGTGACAAATAGAGTTGACATGGAAAGTGTAAGCTACTGCATCCAGACAAAGGATGAGAAAGCCTTGGATCTCAAGCTCTGTAGGCCAGAATGAAAAACCTTGAAAATATCTGAGGATCGAACTGACATCATCAGGTTCACACTTAAAAAAGCGGAGAGAGGAAATGAGCAGAAAGAGAGGAACTGGACAACAAAAAACTCTTCCTATTTTAGGCAATATTACATCTAGGCCAGGGAGGTAGCTCCTCAGCCAGTAAGAGCAAATGGCTTCAGGCCTGATGGCCTGAGTTCAACCTCTGGGGCCCCCAGGGTGAAATAAAGGACTAACTCCTGAAAGTTGTCCTCTGCCACACACACAGACACTAAACAAACAAATGGACAACTGCTGATGCCCAGTCTCCAATCGTGGTGCTGTTTTGAAAACTATGGAACCTTGAAGAAGTAGAGAGAGTCTGCCTGGAATTCATACATCACTAAGGGTGGGTGTGGGGAGGTTATACCTGATTCCCCACCTCCCCACCTTCCAATTTCTCCACCTTCCCACCTCCCCACTTCCCCAGTTCCCCACCTCCCCACCTCTGTGTCCTGCTCAGGGTCTCTGCATCCTGGTTCACCAGGATGTTAGGAAGCTCTCCCGCATGCTCTGGCACCATGAGCTCTCCGCCTTGCCTTTCTGACACACTGAAATCAAGGTTCCCTGTGAAGTTGTTTCTGTCGGGTATTTTTGGTCTCAAGAGAGAAAAGTAACTAACTTCATTGCTTAGGTCATGAGAGCATTTCCAGGACTGGTTTTCCTGTTTCCTTATTATAAAACACTGACAGCAACCCAAGGATCAAGACACAAACAAAAAACAAGCAAGCAATGCTGCCACAAAGAATAAAAATGCTCAACAATCCACACTAGCTCATGAAACAGCACCTTGGCTTTTACAAGGACTGCCAAAGTGATGCTTCTGAAGGAGACTGTTGCAGGTAACCAAGAAATGTGAGGAGGCGCATCGCTATGATACCCTATCAGTGCTATCAACTTCATTATCATAATGCTTCTAAATGAAAGCAGACTCTACACTGGGTAACTCTGTGTATTCTTATTTTATGATGTTTAAAATGTATCCATTTATAAATATGTCATAGTGCTTATATTAGATAAGAAGAAATAATAACAGGAATTTTTTCCTTTTTTATTATTTTTTAACTTTTGAGAGTATAACACAATTACATCATTTCCCTCTTCCCTTGCCCCCCCTCCAAATCCTTTTATATCTACCTCCTAGCTTTCTTTCAAATTCATGTTTTTTTCATTAATTGTTGAATAACAGCAAATTTGTTAGAAATAACTTTAATAGGAGGCACACATGAATACTCAAAAGAAAATATTCATCTGAGGATGATTCATGGTCACCACTGTTCAGTTTTCAACACGGTAGAATCAATGAGCATAGAAGTTATTTTATTCCTAACCTTTATATCATACTATGTCATTTCTTCCAAACACAGATTATAAAAATCATTTTAATGGTTCACTAAATTCATATTGTATCTCTAATCATTATCTTGCCAACTATAAAGAGGAATGTTTGATTAACTAGTCAGAGAATCTTGAAAATGGATCTTTTTATTTCTTAGTTGAGTCACCAATTTGCCATAAATATAAAAGGGAATAGACAAACTGTATACCAGTTGGTTCGTTCATAAATACAAGTGGTAAAGGTTAGGAATTCCAACAATTTATGTGTGCTTTCTATACATAAATTACCTTTCACTTGCGGGAGCAGCCTGTAAAAGGCACCAAGGGTGAACTACAAGAGCTTTCTGGGGTTACAGAAAAGTAACAAAAACAGGAAGGATGTGACTCCATGATTATTCAGTTGCACTAGAATATGTTCTGAAGATACTGGGTTGTAGAAGGACAGAGTGCCCTTTTGCTAAAATATGACAGTGCTGTGTGCCAGCAAAACAAACCTGGTCACTACCTCAACAAAACTGACCAGTGCACAAAATGCAGGATGCACTCCTTTTTAAAAATGCTTTTAAGTCAGGTGGTGGTGCACACCTTTAACCCCAGCACTTGCAAGGCAGGGGCATGCAGATCTCCGAGTCTGAGTCCAGCCTGGTCTACAATGTGAATTCCAGG